CATCCACAGAGCCCATGGACATCAGGGTGCCAAACAATGTAAATCAGCATCTTATGACACCTGGAGCTAATGGGAAGTTTGCAGCCTCCTTTCTAATAATCCTGAGTCTAAAGCTTGTTCCTAGCTCCCAGTAACTCTAGAGCAGGGATGCTGTCACAGACATGAAGGCTTCTTGATGCTGAAATTTCACTGAAAAGCCAGGGGAGGACAAGCACTACTGAAGTTTATTTGCAGAAAAATAACAGAGGTCAGAGTAGGTTGAAGTCTGAGCTGTGAACACTTGTGAACAGAATCCTACAGAAGATGAATAAGAAACAGATAAGAGTTGCAATTACAGAGGTCAGGCTGGTAATGTGCCATCCCATCACCTGGCATTTTGTGGGAACATTTTAAAAAGGCACTTTTCTCAAAGCAAGAACAATTTATTTCACATAAAAGGCTCTATAATTAGATCCCCAAGACTGAAGCCAGGTGTGTTTGTACTTTAGGTAATTTCCTGGGTTCTATTAGCATTTCAATAATCAAAGCTAAGCTTTGAAGTGAGGATGCCAGTCAGATGAGGGAAGCTCCTCTCTAGCTGTGCCATTTCCATCTTTGCTAAGAAGCAGTGCATTAATTTACAGAAGTTGCTGAGGACAAAAGCCTCCAAGAGAAACATACAGGTACCTTTCTCATATTTGTGTGCTTTTGGTGTACCTGATTTGATGTCAGGCAGCAACTGAGATTTGGTCTCATCCAAGACTCACTTCTGGCTAGCTTGGTAACAGAAGGCCCAGTTGTATTTATTCCCCTTGATATCACACAGATCCTGGCCAGCCTCAGGTGCCTTCAGTGCACACCAGTTCTGGAAGGCTTTGGCTGGAGGGTGGTGGCTGCATCCTCCCAGGACAGTGTCAGACCCTCCACACGGTACTGGGGTGGCACCACCAGGCACTGCTGCCAGGTCTGGGAGTGTGGCCGGGATCCAGCTCGACTTTCCTGATGCTTTCAGTGCTGCCACCAGGGAATCCTGCCCGGAGGTGGGCACGGGGCTGGGGGTTCATTCCTACACCCACCCCTGTGCCACGGGCTGAGCCGCTGCTGTCAGTGCCAGGTTTGGCACGGCAGACTGGCATGGGGGGACTTCTTAGGACAAAGGGCTTTAAAAATCGCTTTAAAAATCCACCGGGTGGCGGCTGCAGCTGCAGGCGAAGGGCTGCGAGGGCTTCAGCACCTGGGACAGACGCCAATCGCCCCGCCGGGCTGCCCTGGCCTGCCCGGGGCTCGCTCCCCTCAGCCGGCGCTGGGCCTGCAGGGCCCAGCACTCAGATAATGTACCACGATCAGCGGGAGAAACAATCCGTGTTTAGGATGAGATGAAACTTCCCCCTCTGTAAAATGTGAGGCGCCACTTAATTGAAGGATGGCCACTTCAGACATTTTTATATTTCTGTTTTGATTCTTGTCTGATGGCCTCACTGATTAATTTCCTTCTCAATCTAACCATCATGCAGGGAAAGAGAGCCTGGGTGGGGTGTGGTGGTGCAGACATCTTTTATGGAAAATCCTTTCCTTAGGATTTGTCCTCCTGAGAAGCTGAGAGGCCTCAGGAACAAAATGTAAACAATGGTTATGGATCTGTGATTGGTCTCGTGGTTGTTTCTAATTAATGGCCAATCACAGTCAGCTGGCTCAGACTCTGTCCGAGACACAAGCCTTTGTTATTCATTCCTTCTTTTTCTATTCTTAGCCAGCCTTCTGATGAAATCCTTTCTCCTATTCTTTTAGTATAGTTTTAATATAATATATATCATAAAATAATAAATCAAGCCTTCTGAAACATGGAGTCAGATCCTGGTCTCTTCCCTCATCCTCAGACCCCTGTGAACACAGTCACAGTGTGACATAGTTTTGTCAAAGGTTTTGTCACTGGGAGATGAAAGGAATCCAAACCCAGCCTCTTCTTCAGAACAGGAGGCTCTGTACAAACAGCTCACACTGCCCAGCCCAGAGTGGCAGTAGGAGAATGGACACAGTGGCAGGACGTGCAGCAGGTCAGGGTAGCACTCAGGGCAGGTCTGTCCATCAGCAGATGGAACCCAGATGGTGCCAACCCCCAGGGTTACCCCCAGTCCTTACCCTTACAGGGCTGAAAAACAAGGACACAGAATCATCTTGCTGAGAAAGGGGCAATGCCACCTCAGCTGAGCTGTGTCCATCCTCCTCATCACAGGATCCACACACAGGCTGCCAGCAGCATCTCTCTGATCTGAACAACCAGAGCCTCCTGGCACCACACCTCCCATCCCACACCCTGGGAAGCAGGGGAAATGTGCCAGGTTCCCTAAAAGCAGTCACAGAAAGCTTTTCAGAAGAACCTGCTGCCCTGTTAAGGCAGACATTTTACTGAGCATGGGCAATGCCTAGACCTTGACTTTACTGCTAGGCTATAAAGCCTAAAGTCTATATTAATTTACCAGGGTGATAAGACTGAGATAAACAAGTGACTTTTATAGCTTAACAATGATGAGCTGAGTTCTGACATTTCACACTCTGTTTGCTTTGGCAGAACTGCAAGATGGATAATTGAGGGCAGAATTTGGCTGTGAAAATACAACTGCTACTGTGACAGGCAGCCATTTCATCCCATCTCTACACTGTACATGGAATAGAGCACAAAAGTTTCCTGTCTTAGAAAAGGATTCTCAAAGCTGAAGTCATGCTGCTGCATCTTATTTACCAGCCATGGAACACAGAAGATGAAAAAGAATGAACCAGTAAAGAAAGGACTATCTTGGGTCTGACTTAATGACTAAAATCCTGGACAATTAGATTGTTTCACAGGGACAGGTCATTCAAAGCAAAATATTTCACATCTGAGATTAATATTGTGTTCCCTAATTTCTTGCTGCTGGGTTTGCGCCCCAGGGGCTGCTGTACAAAATAAAAATAAAACCAAAACCAAAACAAACCAAATTAAAAAAAACAGACACAAAGGAAATCTCAGAGCAAGCTACAAAATATTTTTGTCCAGAGAGCACTAGAGAATACTTAGTGTGTGTGTGTGGGGGGTGTGAAAGGAAAGAAACAAGAAATACAACAATAACTGATTCTAATTATCTTAAATTGGACACTCAAAATGAACAAATAATTCTGGTTTATCTTCTCCCATTTTTGCAGTTTACAAAACAAAGTAACACCTTGGCACAAACAAACACACACAAAAGAGCAGCAGGAAGAGAATACTTGTAACTAATTAATGAATTATACAGACACTGCAGTATAGAATGTTAATTATAAAAAATAAGCTCTAAGGATCTTAATTCTTTTTTAAAAGCACAAAATAAGAGAGTGTTGGAGTACAGAACAATACAAAAAAATAGCATTGTCTTTATATTCTGAAAAAAATAAAGCATTGAGGAAAACCAGAGAGAGCTCTTTTAATAAAGGGCTTCATCAGAGCACACACAGAGTTGGGCTGACTTCGGGCTATATTAAGAAGAAGTAGCATTTGAGCATGACTTCACAACCTTGAGAATGTCCTTTCTAGTATAATTTTGGTAGCTGATCATGTGAGCAGTGTGTGCACATGTTTGTACATAAACACCATGTTAAGACATTTAAGACATGGGCAATAGTTTATCATTCTATTGTTATTTTCAAAGCGTACTCAGGAGATTCTTTCAAGATCTTTTCGTATGAAAAGTCAACAAATTATTACTAGATTGACATTCAGCTTACTCCTACATTTGTTGTTGTTTCAATTTAAAATAACAAGAAACATTAGGAAAATGCAAAAAGAAAAAAAAAGCCATTGCTTCATGATTTAGAACTCTCTTGCATTTCTGTAAAAAGATTAAGTTTTAGTTATACTATATGTACAAAGACAAAAATGGAAGAGAAATTTGAAGCATTTCTGTACTTTTGTAATTTCTCATCTAAGCATAGGCAGTTTCTAGCTAATTTTAAGACATTCAGCACTTAAACAAATAAATACTTTTAGTTTTTAATATATTATATTTAAGATTTTGTTTTAACTCCTCACAAAACTCACATATAATCCAATTCATCCATTCTTTCTTCAGGACAGATTCTGAATAATACCAGCTATCTATATAAGTTCTCATCGAACAAATTTCTTGTATGACGGTAAAATAAGATTATTGCTGAAGCTGGCTGCCTGTTCTTTAAATTTTATTGATGCAGGGTCAATAAAATTTAAAGAGTTCTTACCATCAGCGCTTAAAGAAATCCCATTATTTAAGCATTTGGCTGTTCATAAACTCTAGTGTTTGTCAGTGGTGCCGGAGCCGGTTGTCGCGCAGGGCTGGAGGTGCTCGCTCTCCCCACTGTCAGTTCTGCACTGAGGTGCAGATCGAGGTGCTGCTCTTGTTGGTAACACACAAACACAAAGTTTCAGTGGTGATATCACCTCATAGCAATGGGAAAAGTGGCCCAAATCTGGGATTTTCAGCACACTTTGTGGTAGGCGGTGGCCGCGCGTATTCCATATAAGAAGGAAAGTGTGCACAATGCTTTAGGTGTCCTGAAAGACAATTTATCTTCATTCTTGACTCTTCACCAAACACTGATCTGAAAGCCTGTTCTTTCCCCTTTAAAAGGCATTTTCCTTATGGAAATCTTCTAACTGAGCAAAGTTTAGAGAAGTTTTGGGATTGTTTCCCATCTCTGTAAATCTGACCATAGGGGTCTCTTGAAAGAGAATTGCTAAGAATTTCCAACTGGACTATGTAATCACAGCTCTTGGTATCAAGAGGAGGGGGAGTGACATGAAATCACTGACTTGTGACATACATTCCTCAGCAACAGCAGCTGCTGCCTAATGACAGCTAATAAAGGGAATCTTCCCTTGACAGAGCTGCATGCCTGCAGTGGGACTGGAATGTGCCCAAGATAAACCCACTGATAACCTAGGAAGCAGGGATCACCCAAAGAGTATAAAAGACGAGCTTCAGAAGAGACACACCACCACAAGGAAGAAAGAGACTTGAAGGGACATCTCAGAAGAAACAGCTTGAACTTCCCTACTCCCAACGAGCTCAGCGCCATGGACACTAAAGGCTCATTTTTCTATGGCTTCCTTTTGCTCCTGCTCATCCAGCTCCAGCCCAGCAGAGCCAACCCTATCTACAGCCTCAGCCCTGCCAAAGAACTGGCCAGCATGGAGGTGAGGACTCTCATTTTGCAAGGGTAAACTTTTGGGGTGCTTAGCAGGGTGTGAAGTGGTGCTTTGCCTTCCTTTTGCATGACTGGACTGCAATAACCACATCAGCCATCTCATGCTGGGGGACAAAGCTTTTCAAAGGAGTTCAGAGAAGCTCTGTAGGTCCTGGGCAGTAGTGGGAACCAAATTGTGATATTGTAGGATGTCTGTTTTGGTGTTTTGGTCCTTTTTCTTTTAAAGAAACATCTTCCTGGGAACAAAGTTCCGGGGAAGGAAAAAATCATCAGAGTAGCTCTGTAAGAACAAATAGAAAACTCTGATGTGGGGTCCTGTCTATGTGCTTACCCCTGCTCCACAGGGCAGCCATATGGCTCTAGCTTTGTAAATCTGAGAGATCTGCTTGTGTATGGATGAGAGATGAGGAGGTAGAGTGGAGCACCCAAAGACAAACTTTTAGAAATATTACTAGAGGAATTAACACAATCATTTAGTGTGGCTCATCCAGAAAAGCTTCCAGAGCTATAAAATTACTGCTAAGCATTTTAACAAATAGAGAAAATCTGTTGTTACAGCACAGTACAAGCTTGAGACTGTGATGGGATCTGAAAGCTCAAACCTTTCCTTGGGCTGGTTGGTACCAGTAACCAGCTTCCCAAAGCTGTTCTCAGGCCCTAAGAACAAACTCCCTGAGCTGATAAGGACAATTGAAGCTAAAGCTGCCCCTGGGCTGTTTCCAGCAGCCAGGAAGAGTGGCTTCCAAATGCACTCACTGTCAGGCAAGCCATAAGGCTCATTCCTCTATATTCACATTCTAGAGCTGGGCAATTAGATTCCTCTAATTGGTTGAGCTGCCCTTGAGGAGGTTATCTGAGCCCAGTTACACAAAGCTTTACAAATTACAAAGAATGGTACCCAGGAAGCAATCACACAGCAGGCATGAATTTACCACACAGGGATTTTCAGTCACTTTCAGGAATAGCAATCCTGTAATCCCTGGGGCAGAGATTAGTGAAAACACCTAGAGCTTCTCCAAGTGATGTCCATTGAAACAGCCAGGGGTGACAAAGCAGCAATGTGAGAATGTGGGGGTGGGCTGTGTGGCCAGAGGTTCTCTCACACTGGTGGGCTGAGTAGACCCTGTTCAACCCAGATCTTGCATTTTCTTCTCTGCCAACACGTGTTCCAAACTTGCCAGTAAGATACACATGATGGCAAGCAGCTTCACTCAGTTCACAAGGTGAAGCTATGCCTTCCCATAGATGGAATTAGTGTGAACAGGGAAATAATGCAGAGGACAGAACCCAAAGACCACCAGTAAGGCTGGGACCCAACCTGTCAGTGTCCCCGGGGTGGGCTATGGGACCGTCAATGGATACAGAACAGAACGACTGGAAGAGTTAGCAAATGACCACAAAACAAGGAATTTCATTAATTTAATCCTTCTCTTATAGGCTCTGCTGGAAAGACTGGAGGATAAGTTTGCAATGATGGAAGCCCTGGAGTCCAATCCTGACCTGCAAGAAGCCAAACCCCAGGAGGAGACGCTGCCGGAACTGGCCGACGACAGTGACAACCAGAAGGCTGAACCCAGGCTGGCACCCAGCACCCCTCTGTCCTACAGGGACCCCTTCCTCAAGAGACTGAGGGGGCTGCAGATGCCCAGGATGATGAGGGATTCTGGCTGTTTTGGCAGGAGGATTGACAGGATCGGCTCCCTCAGTGGGATGGGCTGCAATGGTGAGTCCTGGCTAAGCCATTTCACTGAATAGCACAGACCGTGGCCGTGCCATGGCACAGGGGAGGAGCAGCTCCTCATTTCAATCTTTAAGACAATTCTATTCTGAAACTAATTTGAGCCTAGTATTTAAGCTAGTATTGGTTTTGCAAAAGCATTGCTGACAATGGTGACACGTACCAAGGCAAAAGCAGATTCTAGTAACATTTATTTCATGTTTGGTTTACAGGTTACCGGAGAAATTAGGATCAACCTCCCTAGAACCTGCTCTGAAGAATGCTTTACAGTACCCCTTCCTCCCAAGATGAAAGCCAGATGCTTTCCAAGCTCCTCAACAGAAAGTTATTCCTATTTTTATTTATTTATTTATTTATTTATTTGATGTTTTTTAAAGAACATTTCTTACGTTAGCACTGACTGACCATCTTTAAATAAAACTAACACATTAGACATCTGTGCTGGACCTCTCTCCTGTCTGTTGCATTAAATTTTCTTGTATTTGCCTAAAGTCAAAATCTTAAGTTTTATTGATATTCTGGTACCCACAAGCCTGGATCTTACTTACATGAGACAGAGAAAACTTAGTAAAAATGAAAATGAGTTTTTGACTAGAGGCTTTTCCTCTGCAGTAAGAAATGCTAACAGGTTAGCAGGAAAAAAAAAAAACCTGCTTAACATTGAAAGATCATCATGAGTCCTCCTATAGACAGGGTTTCAGTGATAAGAGAGTCCTTTTGCTGGTTTAAATTATTCAGTCATGGGAACTGCCACAAATGCCTGGAGTAAGCAAAAGCTACATGAAAAGAAATAAATAAAAATCATAACACTGCACAAGTTTCAAGATAACCAGAGGGAGGAAAGGGAATTCATTGTATATGCTTTCTAGCAGTCACCCAATAAAGGTTCCGAGCATCAACAGAAAGATACATCAATAACTGTGTCTTGTCTCACTCTGCACCTGGCTGAGATGCTGATTCCCAGAATTTCTTCTTGAAGGATCCTCAAAGGTTTGGATATTATCATGAGAGGGTAGGTGGGATCACTGAACTACACAGCAGCTGGCTGCAAAAAGCATTTATCACTTTCTGGGAGTGGCCCCTTGCAAAGTTGTTCTAACATGGCCAATGGGAACACTGGAAGTCTGATTAAGGTTTATTTAACCTTGCTAAATTTCACACCTAGGAGATGAATTTGACCCAAAACATATTCTAGCACCCCACCAAAGAAGGAAATATTGCTAGAAACACATTTAGTCAGCATCCCAAGGAACAAAGAGCTTGGATCCCCATGGGAGCCCCAGCAATGGCATCAAGCCCAGCTCAACACAGCTGTCCTGTGGTTGACTGCATGTACTGCTAGGAACTGTGTTATTTTGAGCACCTCATGAGTCTCATTCCCAGAATCTCAGTGCATTCCCATGGACCTGAGTACCCTCAGAAGCTTGTTCAGGGCTTAAGAAGGCAGCACCAGGACAGACTCAGCTGGAACAATCCAATTCTGACTTTGCTTATGCAGAGGTGACAGGAACAGTACCTGGTGAGGATAAGGAATTGGATTGCAGGTGTTCCAGAGCTGCTGACAACAGCTCTCAGGGGCCACAGCTCCAAGGAAAGGGTAAATTCAAGCACACACCCCTCCTTGCACAAGGCCAGTCACAGCTAAGGCTGCTGCAACACTTTGATAAGGCTCATGTCACACATCACATTTGTGATAAGCCACCCTCCCAGTCACTCCCTGCAGTGCTGACATGGCCTCCAAGAGGGGTCTGTGTGCTCCTCTCCACACTGGGCCTTGTGATTCTTTCCTAGGGAAGAAGGGCAGAAGTCCAATCTGAGGGACTAATTTTGGAACACTCCAACAGGAAACCACAGTGTGATACAAATCCTCTCCTTCCAGCAGCACCAGCTACAGATAAAATATTTTGTGGAATGGTGTCCACACAGGTTTCCCTGACAGAAGAATAAATTCTCAGGCTGAGATTCCCAGCAGCATCCATGGGACATCTCTGCAATGTAAAATACAGTGACTTTGCAATTTCTCAATTTCACAGATCATGGGGGTGTGAAGTCACCCTTTGGGGAGCCCTTGAGGGGACAATGGGGCTTTGTCTTCTTCAAAGGCTTTCCAAACACACCCACTGCAGCACGATGGGAACATGCAGGTGGATCCCTCCACACCAGCAATGAGCAACAGCCTGACTTCCCCTGTGCTGCTGAAAGGAAAAACAATTCATGTACTCTAACAATAGCTGGAGCTGAACTTTACCCAGTCAAGCACAGCTTGAACAGACACTGTAAATTGTCCCTCCCTGTCAGTCCCTCAAGGCACAAAACACTGATTAGTTCAGTGGAATGTGCTAAAAATGGCAAGAAGAGGCAATGCTTCCTGACCTAAAGCCAGGTGGGTCCAGTATTAGCAGCAAGCCAGTTCCTGGTGGAACAAGTCTGTATTAGCTTGCAGACAGTGAGTTAATAGACCCTGCAGTCTGGGAGAACCTACTGGAGGGTAAGCAATCGAGGAAAAAAGCATCTCTGACTGGATTTTTACTGCTACTCCCATACACACCCTGAGCTCTAAAGCACCCTCAGGGAAATCCTGCAGCCAGGTCAGAATAGTGCTGCACTCAGGAGTAAGCACTGGGAAAAGCTGAATGGGAGAAACTCAACACTGATCAGCTCCACAGGCAGAGACCATCACCCCCAAGGATGGAAAAAAGCTGCCACTGGTGCTGGGAGAGCTGGATCAGAGAGAGCAGGGAGCAATCTCGTGAACAGCCATCATGTAAATGAAGAAATATCCCAGTGGGAGCAGAGAAGGACCAGGCTAACACCCTGCACACAGCTCTAATGACATTTGCCACCTCCTGCCTTGCCAGACTTCATTGTAACTTCTGAACAGTGGTTGGCAGCACCCATTGTTGGCCATGCACAATTCAGCAGCTTGCTTTCCTTTGGACTCTGAAACCCAGTAATTCCATTAGTGTGCTCCATGCACTCTGAAAGGCAAGAGCCTTGTCTGGAAGAGGGGCCTGCTTGGCACAGCAAGGATATTTGTAAATTAGATTTGATGGTTTCTCTGCCCCTCAGACACTGCACTATCCCTAGCCAGCTTCCCACTAAACAAAATGCTTCCACTGAAATCCAAGTTGGCAGGCAAGAATGCCAAGAGGAGCTGTCAGCACTGCTTGGCTCCTCTAAGAAATCAGAAGTGAAGGCCAGGGCACACACCCACCCTCCACTGCTGCAGGGAGACGTGGAGCTGTGCCAGTTCACATCCCAGTCTGGCCACAACCAGCTGGCTTGATTTACTTCTCCTGAATCTTGGCCCCCAAGGGCCTTTGCTGATTGATATCTGCTTGATAAGTGTGTCCCACACTTCTATGTGGGAAGGAAGGAAGATTTGTAAGACTTTCCCCCTCTATTACCATCTCCTGACTGTTCTCTCAGAAAACCAGCACAATCCCTCTTGGGAGGAGGTGAAGTTTAAGCCAACAGAAGGTGGTGGGAAGGCAACTAGAGTCAGGCCTGCTATGCTGGGAATTGGAATACAAGAAAAGAAGAATAAAACTGGTGTTTTTTAATCCAGCCATCCCAGAGAGATATTCTCTAGTATAGGCATCAAAGAGCTGCTGGGGGAGTCAAAAGGCTCAAGGTTGTCATGTCTGAGATGTTAGTCATGAGTTTTAACACAGTATTGTTTTCTACTGAAACTGCTATATATGGGTTCCAGGCTCTACTTTAAAATGCTTAAAGTATCAGTAAGATGTGTGTTAAAGCATACACAGCAATTGAAACAGCCTGGAGAAAGGGACATCCTACTCACTGTTAAACTGTTATCTTGTTGAGTTTGTGAGGGTTTCCAGGATGAGGTGAGAGATGAGAATCTGACTTTATGTTCTCAGAAGGCTGATTTATTATTTTATATTATATTATATTAAAAGAATACTATACTACAACTATACTAAAGAAAGAGAAGGATACAGACAGAAGGTGTAACAAGAACCATAATGAAAAACTCATGACTGACTCCTCAGAGTCATTGGTCATTAAATAAAACCAATTCACCTGAAACCAATCAAACATTGACCAGTTGGTAAACAATATCTAGACCACATTCCAAAGCAGCAAAACAGGGAGAAGCAGATAATTATTATTTTCCTTCTTTTCTGAGGCTTCTCAGCTTCCCAGGAGAAGAAATCCTGGCAAAGGGATTTTTCAGAAAATATGACAGTGACATTATCTCAACATCCAAACCTCACTGACTCTCCTGCCTTCCCAGACATCTCATCCCAGCTCCCAGTGAGCCTTTTCAGACACTGTATTTGAACAGTGGATGCAGAGCAGACTGAGTGTATGCCCCTGCTGCTGAAAAGCCCTTCAGCACCCTGGACAACAAGAGCAGCTTCACCCTCTTCTCACAGCCCTGCAACAGCCAAGGCTCCAGGCAGGCACCCTCTGTTCCTCCCAGTGCCTGCTGCATGATTCACAACTGGGAATGCCCACACACTGAAGAGGCAGCTTGTATCCTGCTAGCAAAGCAAAAATTAAAAAAAATAATAATAATCTCACTGAACACCACTGATTTTTTTCTGCTAGAGCCCCAGTGTGTCATTACAGGGACAATGATGCATGGTTTCAATGAGGCTATAAACCTCTCCCATTCCCTCCTGTGCTGCTGCATTTACAATCAAAGGCAGCACAAGGTGAAGCAGAGTTCCCCCAGTCCCTTCTCCTGATGACTCCTTCCCACCCCTGCCAGGGTATCCTTCCTATTCCTTGCTTAGTTAAGCCCTCTGTGGCACTTCTTGAGCTCCTCAAATCACATTTTCTGCCATTCCCTCCCAAGAGATGGTTTTACCCATCTCAGGCTTTCCCTGGCATTACACACCCACCGAGGGAGAGCCAGAGGGCAGAGCCAGACAAGCTGCTGGCCAACTCTGTGTCAGAGTGCCTCAGAGTGTGTGCATCAGTGCAGCAGCTGCATATTGGGTGCAGCAGCTGTACATTGTGTACAGCAGCTGTACATTGTGTACAA